TTAACTTCCAGAATTCAGCATGAATTATAGTCATGAAGAAGAGAAGCAGGAAGACATTTTTATGAAATTCTTCAAGAACAACGTTGCACTGTTTCTTTCTTATTCGTCTTGTAAAATNTTAGAATATTCTAATTATAATAAATGTCATAAATTCGTTTTTATTAACTTCCAGAATTCAGCATGAATTATAGTCATGAAGAAGAGAAGCAGGAAGACATTTTTATGAAATTCTTCAAGAACAACGTTGCACTGTTTCTTTCTTATTCGTCTTGTAAAATTATTATATTACTTGTCTATGTCGTTAGTTTATCATTAGGTATATGGGGTGTCATTTCTTTGAACGAAGGTCTTAATGTATTCAGTTTTTATCCCGAAAATTCCGAAATTACCCGAGCATTTCGAGTATATTATAAATATTTTACTGAATATCCATTTACTATTCACATAGTGATTAACGAAACTTTGGATTATTCGTTCAGAAATCACTAGACAACATGATTAAGAAGTTCCAGTCTCATCCAAACGTGGCAGATATGGACGTATCTTGGTTGAAGTATTATAAAGATTTGCAAAAACACTCAGCAGCGAAATATTCTTTTATGGGATACGATTTATCCACTAAAGAAGATTTTATCGATGCTTTACGTCAGGTGTTCCTGAAATTTCCAGGAGCCAAACAATACCAAAATGATATCGTATTTAATCAAAATTATACCGATATTATTTGCAGTCGTTTCTTTCTGTTAGCAAGAAATGTTTCGGATAAAAGCGTAGAGTCGAAATTAATCAAAGATATAAGAATGATGGCAGAGGAATTTCCTTTCTCCGTTCTTATTCACACCATGATATCTCCATTCGTTGAGCAAAGTATCATTATTAGAGAAGTGGTCTTTCAATTTTTTTGGATAACGTCGTTAATAAATCTTGTTATTTTTATTTCCTTTAATCCAAATATTTTGTATTCGGTTGTCGTTGCTCTGTGCATTTCGTCTATTACGATACAAACTCTGGGTTACATGTCGTTGTGGGGTGTGGACCTGGACATTGCGTCCATGTTCTGCTTAGTAATCTGTTTTGGATTTTGTGTTAATTACCCTACTCACATATGTTATTCTTTTCTCACATCGTCAGAGAAAACCATAAAAGGTAAATTGCAGCATAGTTTGTGGGATTTCCGATATAATGTGGGATTTCCGATATTTCAGGGCGCATTCTCAACCGGAATAGGTGTGTTGACTGTTTTGCAAAAAACTATGGTTTTGAATGAAACATTTGTTAAAATACTTGTTATAATTGCGGTGCAATCTGCGTTTCATGCTTTATTGTTAATTCCTGTCGTATTTTCCATTATCTGGTTTGGTCTTGATATGTATAAAGCAAGAAGAAAAGAATATATTGCATAATANGAAATATTCTTTTATGGGATACGATTTATCCACTAAACAAGATTTCATCGATGGTTTACGGCAGGTGTTTCTGAAATTTCCAGGAGCCAAACATTACCAGAATGATATCGTATTTAATCATAATTATACGGATATTATTTGTAGTCGTTTCTTTCTTTTAGCAAGAAATGTTTCGGATAGAACCACGGAGTCGAAATTAATCAAAGATATACGAAAGATGGCGGAGGAATTTCCTTTCTCCGTTCTTATTCACACCATGATATCTCCATTCGTTGAGCAAAGTATCATTATTAGAGAAGTGGTCTTTCATTTTTTTTGGATAACGTCGTTAATTAATCTTGTAATTTTTGTTTCTTTTAATCCAAATATTTTGTATTCGGTTGTCGTTGCTCTGTGCATTTCGTCTATTACGATACAAACTCTGGGTTATATGTCGTTATGGGGTGTGGACTTAGACATCGCTTCCATGTTCTGCTTAGTAATTTCTATGGGGTTTTGTGTTAATTATCCTACTCACATATGTTATTCTTTTCTCACTTCGTCAGATAAAACCATAAGAGGAAAATTGCAGCATAGTTTATATAATGTGGGATTTCCGATATTTCAGGGCGCATTCTCAACCGGAATAGGTGTGTTGATTGTTTTGCAGAAAACTATGATTTTGAATAAAGCATTTGTTAAAATACTTGTTATAATTGCGGTGCAAACTGCATTTCATGCTTTATTGTTAATTCCTGTCGTATTTTCCATCATCTGGTTTGGTCTTGATATATATAAAGCAAGAAGAAAAGCATATAATAATATAATATAGGATGAAAAGTATGAGGAAATGGCAAATAAACTCATTAATTGGGGTTTATAAAATAATTTAGTTTTTAGAGAATAGAAATTATAGTAGAAACACATGTGTAGTTTTTTATAGAATGGTTAAAATCTTTGTCATTTTTCTAGTAAGTATGCATTTCAATTCAATTCAATTTATTTCTTTGTTGCATGAAATGTAATTAGGTGTTAGTTGTTTATTCTTGTTTAAAAATAATGTAAATTTATCAAGATACTTTGATATATTTTAATAGTAGTTAAAATATTTGAATTTTTCCAGTTATATACACAAGTGGTTAGTTTTCTGTTGACGGTAAATTCTTATATTTTGTAATTAAGAAATAAAAAATTTTAAAAAATCAATGGGGTTGGTATTATTTCACAAAATATTAAAGGTACACTTTTTTTCAGAGAATTATTTTCTTTCTTTATTAATGGGCGAATTTGTACTGGAAAACTAACATGTATACTCTCACTATGCAATAATTTTTACTTTAATTTCGTATTTCTTATTATAGTGTGATAACAAGAGACGAAGTAAATGCAATAAAATGTTAATTTTTACTATCGAACAGCTGTTGCAAAGGGAAGAAGCTATAACGTAATACAGAAAATTAGAAAGATAATTAAAAAATACAAGTAAGCCTTCACTGCATACAAAGTAAGTTTGAGTGGTGGTAGTGTATAAACAAAGTAGTATACGTAAGGAAAATTCTAATTATATTGGTGAAACAAGGAAAAAGTTAAGATTAAAAAAATACCAGACGTCAGTTAGATTAAATTATAGAAATTCCCTTAGTTTTTGTATTGCACGGAACCAGGCTGTAAAATAAGTAAAGAAAATGTTACGACATATTTTGAAAACTCTACATAAAAAAAGCAGTTTTAGGGACATACTAAAATATTACAACAATTAAAGTCCATTAATTTAAATAAAAGTATGGAATCTATTTTCATACTTTTAGATGTGATTTGGCAAAGTCTGCTGCATAAGTGTTGATGTAAAGAAGAGCAATTGAAAGGCAGTCATAAAAAGTTGTGATTATCTTCTACGGGATTGTCATCACCAGGATTGAAAAGAGGTAAGGAATCAAAATTTTACGTATTTTTCTCCACATTTTTATGTATCGATATATTTTACTATTTAATTCTTTTTATTCTTTTCTAAATTTAATTCCTTGCCTTATTTTTCTTTGTGAGGGTCAGAAATTTTGTGTTATAAACTTTAAAATTTTCCCAAATTTTAATTAAACTTTAAATGCAACTTTATTGAGACGGAACGAGTTATATAAAATTAAAAGAGATAAGGGAAACATAAAATCTGGTTAACCTTCGATTCCCACGAGTTGGGTTCCTTGTTGAGATGAGTACATCTTTGTGTTACGATTGTGTCACCCATCACCTCATTGGTCCAAGGAGATCGTCATCCCTGACGAAATTGGGGAAAGGCCCAAAAAGAGAACTTCGTATAGAACAGAACAAGGAATTCATGTAGAACTGGAGAATAGTGATTTTAAAACCGAAAAAGCTATAGAACTTGCGACAGATTTCATTACTAAAAGTTTGGTAACGATAACCGAAATCGTTGATTCAAATTGTAGCGAATGATCCAGATTTTGAAAGCAGTGCAAAAGCGAAACGAGGTGTTTTGAATGCAATCTTCTGCTACGCACATTTGCTTAAGGAAAGAAAAAAAAAGCGACAAATGAGACTACACGACTTTATCGCAAAAATACAAGAATTTCAGAAAATCCACGACCTTCATCACAAAAAACGAACTTAACATTACTTTGTGCATATGTTTATGAGTTATTTAACATAAATTATCATGCAAATTAATATAAAAATAAATAAAAATAGTAAAATTTGTTTATTTTTAGTCGCGTGTTTCTCTTTCCCTATTTAATCTGTGTTAAATTGACCTCGTTTAACGTTGTTTTACTTAGTGCTTTGTCGTCTAGGAAGTCATCCCCCACTTTAAGCAGTATATGATTATATACAATATTTTAAATGTTTTTTTAAAAAGGAGTTTACAACGAAGTTAAGCCTGCCAAAATATATTTCAGTAATTTTACATAGACGAGACATTTGAGAAAACGAAAGACAGCTGTTGAACAAATGCTCCTGTTGAATCAACAGATACGGAGATTACAAGGAAATACACGTTCAGTAAAAGAAATCATGGTCTGGCAATACAAGAGAAGAAAAGATCAGAAGTTACAACAATTATTCAGATACTCCACATTAAGTGAAAAACGAGTGTGGGAAAGTCAGTGAAGAGTAGATAAGACAACTCTAAAAATATCAAAACTATTAACTAATATATTGAAATTATGACTAGAATACAATAAGCCATTTAATGTCAAACAAATTAATGTAGTATCCGAAATTGATAAAGCAGTAAATCAATTTAAAATAAAACAAGATGGTAAAATAGTGTGAAATCCGGAATTTTTACCGAATTTTCCGATTAATATCCCGCATTTTTCTAAACCCCCAATTAAATTTTCCTTTAAATTCTAACTAAAACCTAACTTAAAAAAGGGAAAAATTCCAGTCTCCCCTTTCGTTTAAAGTAAACATCCGTCCATTTCGAAAATAATCCCCCATTCCAACTCCAAAGTTGATAGTTAGCATGGTCCCGGGAACAACTTTGACTCATCCGAGTACCTTTTACCTCACAACAATTAGTCACATGATCATTCTCCCACGACGAAACTATAAAAGCCGCTTGCTTCCCTCTCTCGGGGGAGTCGTTCATAAGCCGCCAACTACAATTTTCTCGAATATTGTATCCTATTGATATATTGTGTCCTGAGAAACTATTATCCTTATCCTACCAGTTCGTAACCCGTTGGATATCATAACCTTTTTCCTCAAGAATATTTAAAGACATAAAGAGGTATGGAACAAATTTTTGTGAACTCTCTCTCGGCCCTTCGCGGTTTAGGGACTCAGAAATTTCCCTCGATAATAATTATTGTACCGTCTATGTAGATAGCTAATAAATCGTTGTTTCCTTGTTAAATTGGTGACCTGAGTTTACTCGTATATCGCCTGTCACCTTACCGACGGCCCTCCTCCCTCCTCCACTCGATCCTAACAATTAAATCCCGTTACCGCGGGATAGGGAAGAAGAAACATTTAAGCCATCTTGACAGTGAGCAGGTTTAACGACATGTCGCAGGAAAGGGAGACCTCCAACCTCCCCGGCGGTTCACAATAGTATAAAACATCAAATAAAAGCAGATATTGAAAAATTAGACAAAAATCCTAAAAAAAAAGGTGAGATGATAATAATTGGTAAATAATGAAAAAGTAATCTAAAAATTGTATAACATTAAAAACATATTAAAAGAAAAATAACGTAACTTTAACTAAAGAAGATAAGACAGATCAAGTTACGAACGAATGGAAGGATAAGAAAAATCGGAACTTGTGCTGCCGGATGGATTTATGGAACTGACAGAAAACACAATAGAAAAAAATAAAGAAATGGTTTAAAAAGAAAGTCACAAAACTATATACACAACAAAAAGTTACATCAGGTGAAAAGAAAAAATTCTTAATTCTAATGATATTAAAGATCAACACCTTAAAATTAGACTTGAGACTCATAAAGCTAAAGAAATGTGTAGACAATTAGTGAACTTTAAGTATACATTATTATTTAATTTAGAATCTTTTATTAAAAGTGAATTTAAAATTATTACAGTTTCACCTTATCCCATAAAAATACAGTTATTAAGACGAATAATGTATAATAAGTTAAGATAAAATCTAGGTATAAGTTACTAAGTCTAAATGTACTCATCAATAAAGAGAAAACAAATTGAAAAACGTTTACTTTATCAAGATACACACAATTGGTTACTATGATAGATACTAAATTATCAAGAAGACTCGAGCAGCTGAAGGAGTAACAAAAATTACATCTGAGAAATAAAGAACAATGGAGAGCTCATAATGGAACCTGAAACTGATCTGACGATAGAAGAATGCCAAAAACTCTCGAATAAAGAACACCAAAAAACAAGACGAGATATGTTTTCTTCTGAAAAAAAAGATTAATGTCGATATCTGTTATTAAACATATTTCGAAGAAGTGGGATGATGTCAGAACGACGGTCTTAGAATGACATCCAAACCAGGTTCAGATTAATAGGTTTAGGGATGTCTATCTACAATTACAATGCTATTAATTGCTTCTGAAAAATCTTGAAGAAGAGAGAAAAGAAATCGACATTGGAGAGATTCTTTAACCCCATAAACGGAGAAGACATGACTAATAAAAATGCAAGATTGCATATACTGTATATGTATTTTTACTATTACATATAAATAAACGTAATAAATAAAAAATATAAAAATAAAACATTCGAAAAATGAAATAGTATATATTTTTTTTTTATTTTTTCGAAACTCCGAAACGAATAAATCAAATTCTCATAAAAACCAATGGTAAATCGAAAATCGGTTAACGAACAAAGTCTTGGAACGAATTATGTTCGTTAACCGATCATCCGCTGTAATTACAAATAATGCTGTATTATTGACAGTAAAAAAATGAAATTCACACAACAAAAAATAAATTCAATGCAATTTTTGACATTTCTGCAGATGAAAATTGTAACGTTTTGTGGGTGAATTGTATGATTGTATTACTGTGTTAGAGCGTAAACGTGTTTAGAAATGCCGCGCTGTGCGTGGGATGACTGTATATGAGTGTAATTTCTTTTTTCCAAAATATTCAGAAGTGTCTCTTTCGAGAGGCGATGATCATTTTCATATATGTTGGAAAATATGCAGCTAGACAATGTCTACAGAAATTAATGCGTCATGTTTTCGAAACGCTTATAATGGAGCAGAAATTCTGTTCAGAAGATTCCTGTTTATTGTAACAGCAATACAAGAAAAACGAGAAAAATACCGTAAATAACGAAATAAAATCTTGCCTTTTATATTATTTTATCAATTTGTGCGTTATTTCGAATAGATGAAGGACGTCGTATTTCTTCTGCGCTAAATGTCGACTTTCACTGCGATGCTAAACTTGTATACGAACGGTTTGTAAAACTAAATGAAAGGTTTTTTAAGTGACATGCCTGTTAAAAGTTCGAAATCTATTTAATAGAATAATTGAAATTTCCTCGTATGAATAAAGTATTGGTAGAGTTTCAGTTAATAATTACGTTTGATTTTTCTTCTCACGAAAGTAATAAGTTATTCACTGATAGACTGGCTTTTTTTATTAGAAATTAAACATTTATAAGAAAATAAAGTGGAATTTTATATGTAAATTTATATAAATTTAATGGTTAAATGAGATAAGATATACTTCAATTTAATTTCTAGATTAATATATAATTATGTACTAATTATTATTCACTATTTTCTAATGCAGATCACGATTAAGTTAATATTCTACGCAGTAAGTATGTCCTGATGTTTAGTCGAAACGTATTAAGAACATAAAAAAAACAAACAAACTGTTCTAACCATAATTTTTTCGTATGCTTCACTTACTCGGAATCAACTAAATAAAGAAATAAAATGAAAACGCCAAAATATTTAAGTTTATAATTACGTTTTCGCCCAATTTACAATATAAAGACGAAAGAAAATTAAATTATTATACTTTACGAGTCGTAGTTGTAGTTTCGTTTCGCCTTTGTTTTATTTTATTATTATTATGTTTTTCTTTTTTTCTTTTAACGGTGACAACTGGATAAAACCAGTTCTGCTCAGTCGCTTGTTACTTACGTTTCATTGCATATCTTAACTTTTTAAAGTAAAATGTAACAAAGTCTGTTGCATTTCACGCCACATAAGACTCTGCCAAATGAAATAAATATAATTCACTTTTTTACATTCAGTTATAAAGGACAAAATTAAACTGTATTGACAATTTCAAAACAACTTTTAATAGATAACTAAACCATGTGATATACCGTATTGTCCGGGCGTATGTTGTCACCATAAAGTAAACATTGTAGACCACGAGCAGTAATAGAAATATTAATTTCCGACAGTTAATCGAAGATTAATGAGTAAAAGATGAATAAAATGTTTTAGAAATATCATATAATAATAAACATAAAAAATAAAATAAGTAAATTAAAGTATTGTGTGCATATTATAAAGTAATTTAATTGTGTCATTTTAATTTTGCTACCTGTTTGTATTATTTTCATTGCATTTGGCAATATAAGGGATATTGAATTTACAAAAACACTTAGACCAGAATCCTTAATGTTTTTTGCATGTATCAATTTCGAAAAGCTTTTTTGGGAGGTGATATCATGAATTTTCTCAATGGAAGTCACTAACGCTAATGACGTCACTGGTAGTATAAATATTAAGGAAAAAAAGGAGAACAATAGTGGCAATAACAAAATATATTTCTTACTTTTTATTATTCTATTAATACACTAATGACCGAGTAGATAAAACAACGGAGTAATCGCGTGTTCATATATGATGAACGACTTGCCAGGTGTTTTTCTGCCACGTTTGCCTGGATGGAATTACAGAATAATAATTATTAGAAAAAATTCAAGGTAATTTTACTTCTTAAGTTTATTTAAATTGAGTTATATGAAAAACTTTAATAATTAAATATTTACCTGAGAATCGCTAAGAATTTTTCTTATAATTGTTAATGTTTAAATGTTTCAACACGTTTAATATTTAAAAAACGAATTTAACATTTTAAATTATAAATTAAAAATTTAATTTTTTTCATTAAAAATTTGCATCATTGTTTTCTATTACAAATTTGTTTTGTGTTTATCGAAAACGTTGAAAAAATAGGAAAAATAATGAAATGAAAGTAGAACAGGAGAGAAGTGTGAAAGTATTTTTGCTCCATTTCTCGGTATTTATAATTATTTGACACATAATATTAACCAACATTCTGCAATAAAATTGATTTATTATTAAATACAAAAATTACTTATTCTTTTAAATCGTTAAATTTTTAAAAATTTACTTGAAAAGTGCCATTTCTTTCCGTATAAAGTTCTGCTTTCTAATGAAGTAATAAATAATGAACTTTCAAATAAACTTTTCTTTATCTCCTTTATAATAAATGAATTTATCTATTTCTAAGTAAAAATTGAAAACGTCTATAGAAGTGATTTTTTAAAATAACCTTTTTCGTGGTAAAGTTTTAATACTAACTATTGTAATATTGACATGTTAATCCTTAAAAATATAAGTATATTTAAAAATTGGGCCAGAAGTACGCCTATATGCAAGATACTTGTAGCCCAACACACCATGGCTTCTGCCAATGTGGCCAAGATAAACAAAAAGATTGGACATCCCTGGTTTAGTGGATTCCTGGTATTATAAAACATTAATAAAGGAGAAAAATAGTGGCAATATCTAAATATATTTCTTCCTTTCTATTATTCTATCAATTAATTAATCTATTAATTCACCTTATTAATGTTGTGTTCTATTTTAAGTACAGGATATCTTTTACTGTTGTGTTTCTATTCGTTATGATTAACGGACGAAGTAATTGTTTCTTTATTTGAGACTTTTTTAAAAACCTGTTTTCTTGTCTGAATGAAATATTACTTAAGTCTACCAATGTGTACTTCTCACGAAAATAATTTTTTCATTCGAACAACTGGCTTTTAGTTCATTATTTATTACTTCATTAGAAAGCAGAACTTTATACGGAAAGAAATAACACTTTTCAAGTAAATTGTTAAAAATTTAATGATTTAAAAAAGTACGCAATTTTTGTATTTAATAATAAATCAATTTTATTGCAGAATGTTGGTTAATATTATGTGTCAAATGATAATAAGTACCGAGTAATCGAGCAAAAATACATTCACACTTCACTCCTCTTTTACATTCATTTCATTATTTTTCCTAATTTTCCAA